TGTGGAAAAAAAAATTATTTCATATTCAATTCCTATAAAAATCCTCGTTAATCACGAAATTTGTTTTTTTGTGTCGTGCCTAATTTTGTATGCGTGTCGATTTATCGATCCCATCTTTTTCCATCCTTTCGGGATTTCGGATAAGTCTCCTGCTTCGCGTAAATTCCGGCAAAAACTGAGTGAATAGCCTTAAATCCAACACCTTTATGGGTACAAGCCGTCTGCTGCTTCACGCTGATACATCGCCGATATAATAGTGCCATTGAAGCGTCGCCATTATTGCCGAGATTTGGGGAAACGATCGACCATGCTAACGGATTCGTCGCAGCTTGCACGCTGTTTGCAAATAGGCTTTCTATTTGAAATTATTGAGTAAACGTTAAACGGTACGACGAATTGGACCGATCGATTCATCATCGAAAAAATTAATCAACCTTCTAACATCGTACAAAATGATGGATTACTTAATTCAGCAAAATTTGTTCGACTGTGAGCTTTAGTTCAGTAAGCAGCAATTTGGAAAGTCAGAATATATAATGTTGAAAATTGAACATTTATTAAATAGTGGAATGAAATGGTCATTTATACATTATTGGTTACACAAACTGGCATGTGCATGAAATGTGGTTTAATACAGTTCTGTGAAAATCTATAAATCTTGCGATATAATATCCGATTATGCATTGTTTGTTTATTACAGGTTGCACCGAGTGACCTGAAAATTGTAAATACTAAATCGTATCCAGCCAGTCATATTAGTTATTATTTTATTTTCGGCAATGTATCGTATATTTAGTAATCTGGTAATTGAAAAAGTAATGTCGATAAGTGAAGAAGTGTTACTCATTCTTAGGGCATAACCTTTTTACTGAATATACGACATTTAGCGCATAATGTTACGATCATATGTCGCGTACAGATGAAATTGCATTTTGTTGTTGCAGCGCATCTGCGCGATAAAAGTGTCAAAGTGAAATTTGCGCAAGCAGGGGGAAAATATTTTCGTTCCATCGTCTCTTTCGGTGAAAGACATATTTTGATAGATCCTCATTGCCCTCCTCGGTTTATCAAGAGGTGGACATTTTCATTGTTTATTTTCTAACCACTCGTGTTCTGCATTGCGTTCACTTTCGGTCGCTCTTGTTATGGAAACGAACCTCGTCAGAGGACTCCTCTTTCACGAATTCATGGCCCTAGTTATCCGTCATACTTCAGATGCATCATATTATGTTTCCGAAGTGCCGTTTCAACAACGGACGAGAATATTATACATATAAGACCTAATCGGTAGAATATAAAATGTTTAGGACTGATCAGAATGAGCGTTCAACGAAGATGCAAACACTTGAAGTTTGATTTCTTTTCTCTTTTTTAATATTCTGTACATTCATATTACCGAGCATATTACTGTGAATTCGTCATGAACTGGATTTTGAAAATTTTTTGTTTTATTATAACTTTGGAACATTGTCGTTAAAGCCAGTTTCATGGCGATCGCTGCTTGATTTTGCATTGTTATGTCAGATTATCACTAAACACTCGCAATAACATATCTGCAAACGGAAAACTATTTTCCAGGTGTTCGTAGGATGTTCTTCGGAGCGAAACGGAGCAGAAACGTGAACTCGCGTTTAATTACACGCTCGGGATTGAAGGAAAAGGAAAATGTCGTTTTCACCAGGTTTTGGAAAAGTCGAATTAGCAATGGCCCCTCCGATTTGGAAAACCCTGACGAAGATGTAATCCGACGGATTAGGTTGGTGGGTGACCACGATTAGCGATACATCTGCTTCGTCGTGATTTTAACAAAGGACACGTGCCTCGCCACGTGCTTACTCATTTTCGGCCGGAACATCATTCCTGTAAAGTGGATTGCTGCAGGAATACAATGCTCGATGCAAGCCCGGTGGTCGCGAAATTTTGTTCGTAATTCCTTGTCAAGGTTATTGGATTGAATATTCCGTCCCTTCTGGGTTAGGTTAGTCAAAGAATATGTGCATAATAGGAAAAGATGTGGAACGTATCAAGGTGGAGTGAAAGTGGCGTCAAAGAATTCTCTTTCATAAAATCCGTCCCCAAACTTAGTGCACCGAATCGACTCAAACTTCATAATATAAATGTGGATATTTTAAAAATTTGTTATTAAAAAATTAAATTTCCTGAGGATCGGGACCTTCCTTATAGCCTCCACATTTACGTTGTCAAGTTTGAAATGATTCGGCACATCCAGTTCGGAGATGTTCTATGAACAATTGTCTCTTCACATCCCTTCAAATGTTTTTAACAAGTTTTGTCATAAACAAATGTTTTATTACAACGAATATCTTCAGAAGTTAGAGAAAACTATTGGAGGTTATTACTTTGACAAGTTACTCCTGGATTTGCAATGCAGTGGAATATGATAAAATTGCGAATTTGATATTGGAACTTTATTTAAATACTTTTTAAATGAATGGTTTAGTTTTTCATAACGTATTTTATATTGAGTGAAAATAATGATCAGATGTGCATAAATTTCCAAACCATTAAAATACGTAGTAAATAAATTTGGGAAGTGTTTTATGTACGTAATGAATATACATGATCGGTTTATAGGTAAAATATGCTTTATTGGTAAAGTATAAATTCTGTACAATATGTAATCCCTGAATCAGCAATTCCGTTTACAATAAGAGCACTGGCGTAGACTTATACCCTAATATTGTTATCACTAACTTAAACATCTCGACGCAGAGAACAAAATGAGATCGAGAAACGGAGATCAACTAAAGAAAAATGACTAGAACAAAAAGGAACGTAAGTCACACGCGAAATAAAATTCGAGTTATGTTCCTTCCGGATTACGAAAGTATTCTCGCATACTCATTAAAAAAGTGAGTTTCGCCCGGGCGTACAAATAATATAAATACACGTAAATACACTCGCGAAGGATCGACACTCGAGTTACCTCGTTAGCACTAATCGTTTGCAATAGAATATTCTCTTACAAAGTAAATAACGACAATGTCTAGTGTTACTTTCTTTTTACAGTCCTATCATTTGGCGCAGGTGTTGACAATTACCTTTCTCGATATTCACTCAAATGACCCATTGCATTTTCAAAAGCCGCCTAAATTCGTATGTACGTATTTTAATATGGCACGATTGTACTTACATATTACTAACGCATGATTTGTAAAGTCCTGCTAATTGACAAATGTAAGAACCAATATATGTCATCTGTCATGTTGAACATATTCGTTAATCCGTTGAATTTTTTAATTTCGATAGGGTTATCATTGATGGCGTTATTATCCTCATTCGCAATTGTTTTTATTTTCTAAATTCTTTTAGTTTAATTTTTAGTTAAATTCGTTTACTCTGTCATTCGTGTCCATTCTTCGTTACAAATAATCTTTGGAAATGCTTTGTTCTTCGTGTACAGTTATTAAAAAATTAAAAACAGTACAGTTCTGCAACTATTTGTAAATCGAGCCGTTTACGCTGCAATTCTGTGAACTTTCACTCTAAGATCTCTAACTATACTGCGATTGTCATTGCACCGACAACTTTATCGTGGTTATTCGTCAGTCTTTGTTTTATAATAGAAATCTGCTTATACGTGATATTATTTTCTTTAATGCATATTATGTGGTTATCAGAATGCGTGATACAGAAGAAGAGACTGCTGATATGCACGTAGAGTATAAGTATATACCTGAGCCAAATTACATTTTCAGTGATAATTAGTCAAATGGCCTAGGAAATTTTTTTAGGTTTGATTTAAATTGCCTCTTAATATATTTCCAAAATGTTAATATTAAAGTCAAAATTCCCGATCAATCAGCAAAACTCTACGTAGTACACAGCTCATAATATGATCATAATACCGAAAATTTTTGTTGAGTAGCATTATCCTTTCCTACTCATAACTCTACATGCATTGAAACACATTACTACGATAACCACGAGTTAATTGCAACTGATGTTTCATTTATCCTTTAAACTGAATCATTACCGAACTTAGTATCTCAATTAGTACTCCGCGACCTGCATCTACATTTGCTCCTTCCTTGGGTACAATTATTCCTAATTTTTAAAAAATTATCATCATCGAGATCTGAACACTGCAGGCGTTACTGCCGTTTCCTTAGCTAACCACTTCTTTGGAACACCAAGAAACTCGGTAGAGTTTCGAGCCAAATACATTTTTGATCGATCAACTCGTTCATAACCGATACCGATGAACTAGGATCTTCCCCGGGTCCTAGTCTGACCACTTGTACCATAATAACTTTGTACCATAATGACTACTCCACGGCATGAATTTAGGACCGATCACTCTTTCCGGGTACGAGTATCCTAGTGAACGTTCATGCTCTAGTCGCGAATGGTGCACCATGTGATGAGGCTGCTGCAGTTGATGCTGTCCATGGTGGGTGTGATGCTGTTATGGTGCACCATGTCATGAGACTGCTGCAGTTGATGCTGTCCATGGTGGATGTACATTCTCTGGTCATAACGTCGACTCTCTACAAACACTGGGTGTGATGCTGTTATGGTGCACCATGTGATGAGGTTCCTGCAGTTGATGCTGTCCACGGTGGGTGTGATGCTGTTATGGTGCACCATGTGATGGGGCTGCTGCAGTTGATGCTGTCCATGGTGGGTGTGATGCTGTTATGGTAGACCATGTCATAAGGCTGTTGCAGTTGATGCTGTCCACGGTGGGTGTGATGCTGTTATGGTGCACCATGTCATGAGGCTGCTGCAGTTGATGCTGTCCACGGTGGGTGTGATGTTGTTATGGTGCACCATGTCATGAGACTGCTGCAGTTGATGCTGTCCATGGTGGATGTACATTCTCTGGTCATAACGTCGACTCTCTACAAACACTGGTACATGCTGTTATGGTGCACCATGTGATGGGGCTGCTGCAGTTGATGCTGTCCATGTCATGAGACTGCTGCAGTTGATGCTGTCCATGGTGGATGTACATTCTCTGTCATAACGTCGACTCTCTACAAACACTGGTACATGCTGTTATGGTGCACCATGTGATGGGGCTGCTGCAGTTGATGCTGTCCATGGTGGGTATACATTCTCTGGTCATAACAGGGCTGATATTGCATCGGAGGACTGACACTTTGGTCGCTGTAGCAGTCGTACTCCTGCCATTCCGGCATGAATCTCTCTTGTGGATACGGAAACGCCGAATGTGCCGGTCCAAGCCGCTTTTGTGCCGCCACTGCGCAGCTTCCGGTCGAGGAGGTGATCATGTTTCCGTTCTCGCTTATGCTCACCGTCACGTTTCCCACATTCACCGTGATCTCCCCGGATTCGGCGTTCCCTAGGGTCTGCGACAATGCCCAGATATAGTTGTGGGCGAACCGCAGCGTTTCGATTTTCGTCAATTTCGTGTCCTCCGGAAATGTCGGCAGTGCCATGCGCAGTCGTTCCAAAGCGTCGTTCAAGGTATGCATCCTGTGTCGTTCCCGATCGTTCGCCTTTATGCGCCGGTTTCTTTTCAATCGGAGCACCTGAAAACGGGAGACATTAAATCCTGATCATTCTGGATCTCTTTTCAGGTTTTTTGCTGCCTGGAATGACGTCCGTGATATCAGATATGATCCGGGACGCGTATCAAATCGTCATTGAAGGTAGGCCATAAAGCGCCGTAAAAATGTGTACTTGTTACTTAATTATCAAAAACCGGAAACTAATCTTATATTCATTATATTCCTATACAACGGGCTAATGTATTTGTTAATTTGGGGGAAAAAAATAGTATGAACATTATGAACTTTAATAGGTACACGCGTAATACACTAATTTTAAATTAATTCCAAAGTAGGCACGTTAAATGGATATGAGGAATTGCTTTTTTGCAAGTTATTGATGAATCGGTCATTTCGAAGTATAAATGTTTTTCGAAACACCGGTTAAGGGGATATTGCGATATTTATATTTTGTAAGGAGGCTCGGAAGATTCGTAGAATATTCCTAACCTGGGTGGGACTCTTGCAGCGAGAATTTCGAGATTTCTTCCGTTTTTCCTCTTTCGCGGTGGAGAAAAGATCCGTCGGTATTTCGTGTTTCGGAGATTCGAAGCTTACGTCAAAGCCAGAATCTGAGGAGCTCGAGAGCTCGTCGAAGCCTCCTTCGCTGCAGAAGGAATAGTCTGATGACATAGTGATCACTGAAATAAAACACGAGAGATGCCGATAAATATTAAAATTAAATTACAGAGTCACTAGCGGACAAATTTTTAGGTGAAGTATGACTAGCTATCGAAATCAGTATCTTTATCAATTCTGTCCTTCTCATGTATGGTTTCCTCTATTTATAAAGGGTTTTCTGAATTAAAAAATTATTCTCGTTCATTGTTATAAACGTAGGCAACGAACGTGTTGATTCATCGCGAAACCTTTTCAATATTTTGTAATGTTATTTTCTACATAAAAATGAAAGAGATACTTGAGGAAAATGATTAATTGAAATGATACATTGCTGTTATAATTTCTCAAATAACTATTGCAACCGGTTACAATTACCGAATATAAAATCTTTTCTATCTGCGAAACGGAATATCAAATTTACGCCGAAGTCATTCTTACATCCTTATCAATCCCCGTCCCTGTAGTCAGATTAATAAACTTTTTATAATTTTACAAAGAGAAGCATTTGATTAAGCTAACTCGAACTTTTGACAAATGATATTCCCGTAAACGGAGAGACACTAATAATTATCGCAAACTGTTTAGAATACAAGATGGCTGCCTGCACCTTGAGAGGGCACCCACCTATAAGCTTTCAGATTTTTATCCGCCGAGATCGGAGAACGAATCGCACTTCGCAATTTAATTCGAGTCCGCACTTTGTTAGAAGATACGACACTTAACGATTCCTGGACGTCATGTCGTCGCTGATAGGCACAAAGACAAGTCTTGCAGCTCGGTGCAAGGATGCAATACATAAGACCCACTACCGGTCTACGCGGGGTACGATTCGGTACTGTCCATGTGCCAAGGGGCTTTAAGGGCATATATACCTTCCCCGGGGGTATTTCGCCCCCTCCATGGGACCCACCACCGTGCATGGGGTACCATACCAAGAGTTCGCCCCATAATCAGTGTAGTAGGGTACCGACCGCCTAGGCTCGCCCTACTCCTAACCTATCCTGGACGCGTGCCATGGAAATGTAGCCGCCTTGTTAGGGGATTAGAGGTTTTGGGGGCGATTACACCGCTTTAAGATTTCATGATTGAGTAACGATCCGGTTTTTAAGGAATAATGCAAAAATTCGAATCTCACTGGGGATGAAGCCATGCGATACAAGGGAGGCTCTTGAAGTGAGGTTAAGATCGGGGTGATGTATAGGGATTTTGGAAAGTGGAGTGGCGAACACATTACTGTTTCTGATTGAGTAACGATCCGGTTTTTAAGGAATAACGCGAAAATTCGAATCTCACTGGGGATGAAGCCATGCGATACAAGGGAGGCTCTTGAAGTGAGGTTAAGATTGGGGTGATGTATTGGGATTTTGGAAAGTGGAGTGGCGAACACATTACTGTTTCTGATTGAGTAACGATTCGGTTTTTAAGGAATAACGCGAAAATTCGAATCTCACTGGGGATGAAGCCATGCGATACAAGGGAGGCTCTTGAAGTGAGGTTAACACTATTTCTACCACGATTTTTTATATACCTATTTCGACTAAAAGGTTTTGATGAGCTGGAGGAAAATGATACCGCTAAATAAATTTAAAAATTATTATACGAAAACTCAAAACATTTATTGAGAAAAAACTATTAAACTTTGAAAATAATTTCAAGTTAAAATTTTAAAAGGTGTCTTTTGACACCTTTGGTAGAAATAGTGTTAAGATCGGGGTGATGTATTGGGATTTTGGAAAGTGGAGTGGTGAACACTAGTACTTCTTCACTATACGGTATAAGTCGGTGAAAGTTTTTTGAAAATATCAAAATATTTATGTAACTTTTTTTCAAGCTGGATACACTGAATCGTTAGAAACTTCAGCACGTGATTATGGAGTCCCTAAGGAAGAACGTGATGGTCATGAAAGTTCATCTGGGATAAATAAGAATGTTTTAAAATAAATTAAACCATGAGGATTGCATTCTTCCTTAAGACTTTTATTATCACATGCTGAAGTTTCAAATATTTTCACGTTTTTATACATAAAGAATGACTTTTTTATAACACCTTAATAGAGCAGACTGCTTCCCGATTGATTCGAGTGCACGCCGAGTTGCATAACGTTGGTGCAAGGTGCATCGGAATATTCTGAGTTACACACCTTATACATTAAAACCAGTAGTAATTATGTACAATATATATACATATTTTACTTGACTAATCAGGGAATGGTTTTTAAAAACTCACCTATTCTTAAGAGCTTTGTTGCCCGAGAGCGCGTTCAACGGATGACCGGAAATAAGTGAAAGATAATCTAATAATGTCAACGGTAGCCATATGTTACTTTGTTAAATCAGTAGATAATACTGGCATGTCACTATAGAAACTGTTAGCTTATGAGAGTGGAGAAAAAACCAGCCTTCTTGATGAAAAGTCTTGAAAAACTTGAAAAAAATAATTCGGTAATTGCAAGTGCTAATAAATGATAGTCGAAGTAAATAATGAATGTTTGCTACAAATAGCACCGTCATTATAACACAAAACGTTATGACAAACAATGAAGAATTGTAATACATTTTATCAAGATATCGAAAGTAACAATTTTACCCCTCATCGATCATAAGGTAAAAAACTAAACACGGATATTTTAGGATTCTCTATTAAATGAATCATGATCTAAGACGGTTTAATAACATGAGAATCTGTCCATCAAATTTCATGTAACCATGTGGACAAATCTCTGACGAGTTATGTCGGATTATGGAGTACATGGGAAAGGGGAATATTGGTTCCGCGTATCTCTTGTGTGTTAAAGAACTTGTTATCGCGATATATTCACGCACACTGAGTGTACTGTCAATAATTTGTTCAATGGGAACTGCCTTGTCGATTGAACACTTGATACGTACAGGTCAGCAAACAAGTGAGTGATCAGGTGAGAAATTTTCGTACATTTTTCAAAGTGCAAATGTACTCTAATTGTAACAGTGCATGGTAAATGATAAAATGTAAAATTATCACTTTTAAAAGTGCGAGTTTCATTAAAATGCATTACACGTAATGGGGATTGATCTTCAGTATTTGCATAAATAGACATGGTAGTATTCGATCAGGTTCAATGAAGTACTACGGCATATGTGTGTACATATTTATACAAATTTGCGTGTGATTATACATCGAACAAAAAAGACATATGTGCTAAATAGATGCAATGGTCCGTAGGTACTTGGTGGGACATTCTGTGACGAATTGCGAATGATACATTGCTCGTCGTATGTTCAATCGATCGAAGGGGTTTTATGGGACGCGATTTCACGCCTGGTTTAAAAACGGTTCTATAAAAATTTCTGTTAATATTTTTCAACGAGAACTGTCGCCAATTAAATAAATTAACGCTGGTAAAAATGTACCTTACGTTTCCGCGAAACAGGCGAAGCAATTTTTAATGAGGAGAATTTATCAATTAGAAAGTCTATTACTGAACTTCGGAAATAATATTTCTATCTCCTTAGAGGAGGAAGCCAACCGAAAAAGGATAATGGATACGAAACGCAGAATATAATACGAACGTCGAAAGTACATTTTCTCATAAAACTTCACTTTAAGAGATAAGCTGGAAATAAAATGCTTGAACGGATTCTTATTTATTGTCTCGGTTAACTATGTACTTCGGTGACTTTAACGTTCATTTAGGAAAAACCACTTTCTCTTTGCGGGATAAGTATGGTGCGATGGTGGCGCCGCTGCGGAGTAACTACGCGCTCTCTGCGCAAGTTTCACAGAAGACGTTCTATTAATTGCGGTATATCCCAGCACGGTTTTTATAGAATGCCAGGAAAGTTGCGATGGTAGAAACTTCCGTACTTTCCTCAGCTGTCTTAAGTTAAAGAATCAGCTTGTTAATACTGGCATCTTTGTTCGAAATAAACTAACAAAAAGAAGGGGGTTTAGACGGAAAGACAATTTTATACGCGAGGAGAAAATCCTGGATTCTTTCTTTTCTCTAACAACAAAGTGTTATATATTATAGTCGCGTTCTTTAGCTTCTTTGTGAATCACAATCGAAGTTTGAAAGATACTCTTTTACTCGAAGCAACTTCATTAACACATTCAAAGAGCAGCTGAAATTGGAGGCCCAACGACCGAGATTGTTCGCGAGATATTTCGTATTTAAAATGAATATTCAACGAATAAGTATGGATCAAGACATATCAACAATTACATCTATATCAATTCCAAATACCCATAATCGATTTCCGCAGAAATTTTAATGATTTGTACGAGTACTTGGCATATGACGAGATATCAATTTCAGATTTCAGTTCCGCCATTTTCGCACGTCCACCTTTCTCTTTTACACGGCAGATGGCGCCAGCTATGCTATCTCACGTGGGTGAACGTCTTCCCCTTACCTCATTCTTCAACACCCCTTGCTAGAAATCTAAAATTAAGAGTGATCAATAAATCTGTCATCAAGTGTCAAGTCTGATTATGTGAAGGATGCCTTTCCAGGAATATTGTGTCTGCTATTTGCACGGGGATGGACAACGTACATACTATGTCAATGGCTCAACATTTGCAATGCTTTTTACGAAATTCTGCACGATACCTTTAAGTCAGGCAACTTCTGGGAAACTTTTTCTTTCCTTCGTTCCCAGGATTTTCTGAGTTAGTGGTTCCCCATCTAGGAATTAACGTCGCCGTTATACCAGGTGAAATATGTCAAACGTGTTACGATTCATTTTATCGGAATTTCTTTGGGCATGGGTCTCGCTCCAATTTCCCGATCTCGAAAAAGCCCGCTCGTAAAGAAGGGTCCGGGAGACTTTTCCCCAACCCTTTTCACACTTCTGAATTTGTACCGTCAGCCAATAAAAGGTATCCGTGAAATCGACACCGTTGACACATGTTCGCAGGGTATCCCGGGGAAATATCGGAAATTACACGAAAGATTTGGCTCCCGAGCGTGCAGAATTGAAAATCAAATAAAAAAGGGTGTTAGTATACCTATCCATTGATAGGTCGAGACTGGAAGGATGAAAAAGGGTTCTCTCTTTTTAGCTGAAACGATTCGCTCTAATTGGACAATTTATTGCTGGTAACTGGGTTAACGGCATCTAGTCATTGTATGAAAAAATCCACGTATTTTATATACAGAAATGCGTTTACAAAAGTAATATATATGTACATATGATACTTAGTAAGAAATAGAAGCCATCACTGTCAATCCAAGAGTCCTCCAAATTTGGCATTTAATCATGTAAAAATATCCGTTAAATTTATTTACAATTATTTCTAGGATAAATTCCAGCAGGAAATACGGTACTCCGAGAGGTTATGAGATTTCCCAGAGTTCTGGCATAGAAAAGTCGGAAGAGGAAGTTGATCCGCGATGGCGTTATTCTACTTCCACCTGAAAGTGCGGAAAGAATTACTTTCCACCCTCGCCGTCTTCGTGAGAATTGGGTTAACTAAACAGCATCGAGCATGTTTCATAATGCGAGAACTTCTTAGAACCATTACGGCACGTAGAACGCAATTTGCAGACAGAGAGCTTCCGTCTGAATCGGACTATCCCACGCTCCTCTTAATCGCTCCTGAAGAACGTTAGGTCCTCTTCGCCGATATGCGTCGTCGAAGCTGCGTGACGTACCACGTAACGATGTAAGTCATCGTCTCGTGTTCCCCCATAATTATGCAGACTTGCACGTTGCCATGAGGCAACAGATAAGCACGCGAGGCATACCAACTTTAAACGGGGCTCTGGAAAATGGAACGGATTGAAGGCTCCTACTCCGTTAATCCTAGGACTGTTTTTTAAACAAAACTGTGTTCCTAGGTGCAGACGTCGTCGAAGCTGCGTCAGACTGCAGTGGTGCATTAAATTGGAATTATTATGATACAGTTCATTATTGGTTGCTAGTCTTGTCTCGTATATCTCGTAAGTTAGCATGTATGGAAGGACCTCATTTAGGGAAGTGATGTGTTTCTTTCACGGTTCATTACTGTTTGTAATCATTTTTGGGGTTTAGCGTTGATACGGTTAGTGAAAACGTTTTTTTAGGGTCTGCATCGCGTAGACGTAGGAAAATAGTGCCTCATGGTTCATTACTATTTGTAATCATTTTTGGATTTTAGCGTTGACACGGTTCGTGAAAACGTTTTTTTAGGGTCTGCATCGCGTAGACGTAGGAAAAAAGTTCCTCATGGTTCATTACTATTTGTAATCATTTTTGGGTTTTAGCGTTGACACGGTTCGTGAAAACGTTTTTTTAGGGTCTGCATCGCGTAAATGTAATAAAAAAGTGCCTCATGGTTCATTACTGTTTATAATCATTTTTGGTGTTTAGCGTTGACACGGTTCGTGATAACGTTTTTTTAGGGTCTGCATCGCGTAGATGTAGGAAAATAGTGCCTCATGGTTCATTACTATTTGTAATCATTTTTGGGTTTAAGCGTTGACACGGTTCATGGAAACGTTTTTTTAGGGTCTGCACGCGTAGATGTAGGAAAAAAGTGCCTCATGGTTCATTACTATTTGTAATAATTTTGGTTTGTGAAAACGTTTTCGTTAGAGTCTGCATCGCGTAGACGTGGGAAAAAAGTGTCTCCACATAGCCAACCATCTCTAAGAAGTCCCCCTTTCGTGGCATTAACGGTTATGCGACCTTATCGACGAAAATTGGTTACACTGAGGTAGGTCAGAGGAGGAATTCAGGGAACACCTTTCCTTTGCTCGCACCTAGGAGCTCGATGGGAAAAGTGCCGTCCACTTCTGCCGGGAATCCCGGCTTCCGGAGAGCCGAGACCCGAACTTTCGAGCTAGACAAATGGGCGCGGATTATCTCGGCCAGATCGGTCGGTCCACATCCGAGAGATCGAGATCTCGAGCGGTAGTTCGAGTTCTAGAACTCGATTCGTGCTCGACTTTGCGAACGGTCGATACTTCATCGTCGATGTCGAGTCGCTCGCCTCGGCCTTTGGTAACAGTACTCGACCCCTTCCATTCCAAGCCATCTTTCTCGTATTCCGGTCCTCTCTTTTCCACTCGGCCGATACTTGGCGTGGAGTGTAGAGTCGTTTCAGCCTCGTGCCAAGATTTGCGAATCCTTTGCTTGACCCCGTAAACAAGGAACTTTTTTATCTGGATGTCTTTGGCGCGGAGTGTAGAGTCGTTTCAGCCTCGTGCCAAGATTTGCGAATCCTTCTTTGCTTGTCCCCGTAAACAAGGAACTTTTTTATCTGGATGTCTTTGGTGCGGAACGTAGAGCCGTTTTAGCCTCGTGCCAAGATTTGCGAATCCTTCTTTGCTTGACCCCGTAAACAAAGAACTTTTTTATCTGGATGTCTTTGGCGCGGAGTTTAGAGTCGTTTCAGCCTCGTGCCAAGATTTGCGAATCTTTCTTTGCTTGACCCCATGAACAAAGAACTTTTTTATCTGGATGTCTTTGGCGCGGAGTGTAGAGCCGTTTTAGCCTCGTGCCAAGATTTGCGAATCCTTTGCTTGACCCCGTAAACAAAGAACTCCTGAAATTGAAATTTCATTTTTCAAACAAAATTTCACTAGAGCCAAGATCATATTTTTTGGTGAAAATTGAACTTTCAATTTTCCATTGACTTTTAACAACGGTCAGGAGCTAATGAAATCTGTTTCATGAAGTTTTACCATGCATGGTGTAAAATTATCTCTTCGACAGGTTAATACTTCTAAATATTTCGTACAAATTACCATATTTACTTTGTTGAAAAAAATATAACGAGTTCACGTATGGAAATTCTGGGTCAAGGACTCGAACGCTTATTACGGCACAACCGCTCACATTTCGAGATTCTCGTCTAATAAGGCAGAACGAGAACGAAATAGAAGTAGAGGTTCTCGACACATAAATCATATCGCGTTTCAAGCTTCGAAAGGAGATATTCGATGATGGAGGATGGTAACGATCTTTCAACTGTGTACGAGAAGTAAATGAACTTCTCTCGTGTACGCTTTGCGATTCTAGACGGATCGAAGAAAATTCCAAGTACGGACTCGGGTCTTGTCGAGTCAGGGTACTCGTCCTTATAATTGAAGAATAATGTATCTTTTGACCTTGTCGCAATCATCTCCTGTAAAAAGAGACTACAGTCTTCTTGCGGTACCTTCTCGTATCAGTTTATCGCATCCTGGTGATTCATCATGGTGGAGGTATCTGACATGGTATAAGGAAGGTCTTGAAACTCATGAAGTTTCAACTTTTGAACATTTCTTCATTGTAAAGTTGGAAACGAGTCGACACCATCCAGTTTGGAGAAAAGTTTTATGAACAATTGACCCTTTAGATACCACTTTAACATCCGGTGATAAGAAAGGGTAATTCTATATATATGTATATGAAACTTTCATAAATGCAAATTCACGCCGTGATCATATATATGAAACTTTCATGAATACAAAGCTTGGTGCTCCAGTAATAGTTTCCCCGTTCTCCGTACACAAAAGGAATATCTGCAAGAAAACGTTGCTGGTCCATTTACAAGCGTTAACATTAGCAGCAACAAGTAATCGAATTTACCTGTCAGGAAGTTACTCCGACCGCTTCCCGATCTTCATTTCGGAGCACAAGCTGCAAAAAATAGAAGAAACGATCATTTCACGCCGTGATCATACATACAAAACATTCATAAATACAAAGCTTGTTGCTCCAGCAAAGTAATAGTTTCCCCGTTCTCCGTACACAAAAGGAATATCTGCAAGAAAACGTTGCTGGTCCATTTACAAGCGTTTCCATCAGCAGCAACAAGTAGTCCCTTTTATCACGAGCGTGTGCCGATTTCCTCCACGTGGACTCGAATTTCCCTGTCAGGAACTTAATCTAACCGCTTCCCGATCATCATTTCGGAGCACAAGCTGCAAAAAATAGAAGAAACGATAATTTCACGCCGTGATCATACATACAAAACATTCATAAATACAAAGCTTGTTGCTCCAGCAAAGTAATAGTTTCCCCGTTCTCCGTACACAAAAGGAATATCTGCAAGAAAACGTTGCTGGTCCATTTACAAGCGTTTCCATCAGCAGCAACAAGTAGTCCCTTTTATCACGAACGTGTACCGATTTCCTCCACGTGGACTCGAATTTCCCTGTCAGGAACTTAATCTAACCGCTTCCCGATCTTCATTTCGGATCACAAGTTGCAATAAATAGGAGAAACGATGATTTCATGCCGAGCTCTTAATTTCAACATACGATGACATCCTTACCGATCGAGCAATCCGGCAACTGGACGGATCGGCACCGATCGGTCAACGTCGGCCCCGACGCTCGTTGTTCGGAGTACTCTCCCCTATTGTGGACTTCCGCGGTTCGGAACAGTCGGGGGCTTCCATCGGCCTGAGTCACCTGGTCGAGGGAAAGAAAAGGAAAAGGCCAACTACCGCTGAGGGACTATAGACTCTCTCGATTCCTTCCACTCCCGGAGCTGAGGCCGCATACCTTCTTACGATGCAGTGTGCGCTTGCCAACCGCCTAGCAGACACCGGTTCCTTTTCGAAACGGTGGAGGCGCTAAGCCGCCGGCCTAAACTGCTCGCCGAATTCGGACTCGCCCCTGGCGAACATGTCTTCGGTGCAGGGAGTGATCTCTTCGTGATACGTGAACCTTCCGCGAGGATGAGGACTTGCCCACGGTGCCGGAAGAGGGATTTATTTTAACGTATGAGGTGAGTCTCGTTGTCCCCTAAACCATCCAGGATGAGAGAATATGGCGCCTCCTCCGTTTTGGCAATTAACCATTCGCACCGCGTGTCCGGGTTTGTCATACTTTGACGTCATAGTAGGTTATACACAGGAGTATAGATTTTTCTTTGTACTTGTACAGGAGAAAGGAATCGGTCGGCTGTTGGAGGAACAGGTTGAGGACATCATGGATATTTTTGGTCGATACGAGTACTTGAATTACCTGTTAGGGCATTAATTTGGCAAATGGAGTCGTTGCGGGCGAGATGTAATAAAAGATTAATGCGTATCAGGGTTTGTTAAGCTTTGATATTGTAGATGATTGCGTAGAGAACAGGATTTATTGACATACCTGGTTTAGATATTTACCTTCGCACGTGTATCCGGGAACAGAGTGTTAGCTATTGGAAGAATAGGCTCCAGGTATCGTGCATATGTTAGGTTTATTCAATTACTTTATTGCTAATCACTTGTTAGAGTCTTTGTTCGATCGAGCTGTATCGCGTATTAACTTGGGAATGAGATGTACCGCCTAGTTTATTTCGGAGGGGATTTACATTCGTCTTCTTTCAACCAATTGTCTATAAAGATTCTCAAGTTTAACTTACAAACAATTGAATCAAGTCTGTCTTAAGAACAAGGTTCACACGAATGGTAGAAACTTGAGCGGCACCTCTTCCTGTATATGACGCCAAGCTAGCACGTAAGAAGTAATTAACACGAGATGAGAAGAACGGGATCCGGGAGAAAAGCCAACAGGACTGAATTTTTCGTTAGCCATTCATTATTTATTACTCGGTCACGTCGTGCCAGAATTCCATGTCGGCGACGCAATAGGAACGTAACGGGTTTTCCTGTGGCCGGGAGTCTAGTGTATGATACTAATGAGACTAGTTAAAATAGTTAGGTAATCGGCCCAGTTTGTTTTTCTATTCGGGTGTAAAGTTAAGGCCACGTGAATCCGTTTAAATGGATAAACTTCCTTTTGTTTATAGATCAACACGTGGCGTTGTAGAGAATTCTTGCGGGTGATCGAGTGATCGGCCATCGAACTAAAAGGAAGGCCAGGGAGATGCTTTCACGCAGGTTAATAAAACAAAGGAGAAGAATTTATTGGGCCAAAAAGTACGGCTAGCGAGTCCCGTCCGTGGTGATTTTAACGCTCGGAGAGGCACTGTCCCATATAGTCCGCGACGCTTAACCCTTTCGCTGCCACGTGAATTTTTCAATTTCCACCATTGGCCCACTATACAAATTTCATATTAACAATTTTATAATGTCAAAGAACTGCGAAATATATTAAAATAACGGTACAATCTTGCCAATAGGATATTTTTTTAATTGTTAGTGGTAGTTACCGGTGACCACCATGGCCCAAATGAAAAGACAAGCGTCGGTCCCATGGGACCACCGTGGCAGTGAAAGGTGATAAAAAAGGGGCATTCTGTATACATAAACCGTAAAAATATTAATAAAACTTTTCTCCAAATTGGGGGCACCGAATTATTTGAAACTTCATTACCAGATTACGGACGCCCTATTTCTTATATTGAGTATTTTATTACTCACTTCGTCACTTCATTTTTTATTAAACTATCGACAACATGTACTTAAAAAAATCGACATGCCCTAGCCGACGTAGTTTTGACTTCCGACTACGACAGCAGTCACGGTTTTGACTTCATACTTTTCTGCATTACGTGACCGGAGAAACTGTGCAGTCTTTGAAGTAATGCTGCTACCAAGTATTCCATTTATTTTGTGGTTATATTATTAATTTATTTGGAAATATGGATCAACGACCTGTATTTTTTCGCCAGTTCATGAGACCGTTTAGGAGACTTTTACCTTGGAATAATTTACAATGTATTTTTATATGAAAATATTTATTTGATAAGGCTCGCTGTACCAAGGTAATTGACATACTTTCGCACGTGTAACTTGAATTCTTCTAAAATTCGATAAGGTATTCTCTAGTTCGTTAATATAATTGCAAGCACGTGATCGTAATTAGTAATTGGGTGTCTTGGGAATCATCAGCAGTAATGACTTAAGTAATACGGAAGTTTCTTTCCGCACGCTTGAAGGCGTTGACAAATCACAGGGACAGGCTTTACTACAATTACTCCGTTAATTACTTTTTTCATTAGCTGCTATTTGCCCCTCGTCCCTATTGTCTATCATGATCCGGAATGACAATTCTATTAGTGGAATGTGCATCTTCATACTAGAATTCTATGCTGTAAAATATTTCACGGTACACACTTATAACACATAAGATGTACAAGAAATTATGCATCTACACAATTGTTAACCCAGTGTTGTATCCCTTTTCTAGACACTAATCACAAACTTTTGCCAAATTTCCTGATACGCCCGACCGCATAAAAATGGAATTCTTAAATTTTAGATGAACCTCTTTCATATTTAATTAAAGAAAAAATATGTCAATGCATAATCGGTAATCATTTCCAGTAAACTCGTATGACTATTTTTTAGGTATTTATTTTATTGGGTATGCTTTTGTAAAATGGTTTATGCAATGCATTAGATTTTTGATCGGAGGTCGCCATGCATAAAATCGAGATGCACTTATTTTTAATTGATTATCGAGTGATGTTCTTTGCGTAGACGTTGGCTGCTACATCTTACTAAGATTTGATCCGTTTCATTGGATATGGGCATTTGTTTAGACAATCTTTATGATAAATCTGCTCTCACCGGGAGTGAGAGCCGGACCGAAGGCGTAAGAACGCAAAACACATTCTGCCTCTATCTTTAACAATGATGTTGCGCAAGTCTTCTAGACCGGCATCTTGTAGGCGAGTGTTGCTGGTAGAAAGTCAGCAGTTGGGCTGAAAATTAAATAACGATCCTGGAAGAGAGATTGGAGGAACGGTTTCACCAAAAAATGTTCTCACGGGAGTCAAGCTTATGGAAACGCTGGAACGGTTTCAAGAGAAAACCATTACGCTCAAGAAACTGTGGGACCAAGGAGAACGGTTGACATCTTTCAGAATTTTTTCTTCGTCACTAAATCGTTGTTACAAAAATAAGCACGTTGTTAAAAATATCCCTGTAACAGCTAGAATGTGCCTATTGTAAAAACTAGACTTTGCATATCTGTTGTCCAGAAATAAGAAAATCAAGTATCGGTTTAGTGACAAGTTTATGGTACATTTAACACCAAAAGGAATACAAGCGCCATTGGAATTACATTTTTATGAATGTATGAAATGTGGTAATTTTGGAAATACACTAATACTGAAACAAAGGGGTTAATTTATAAGGTAGGTCTCGAAGATATGGGAGGTAACCAATTGAACGTTTAGAGTCAAGAAGACTACGTCGATCAATGTTACCTGATGGTTTCTGCTGCTCCAGAAAAGTCATTTTGGAAATACACTAATACTGAAATAAAGGGGTTAATTTATAAGGTAGGTCTCGAAGATATGGGAGGTAACCAACTGAACACGTAGAGTTACGAAGACTACATCGATCAATGTTACCTGGTGACTTCTGCTGCTCCAGAAAAGGAAACTGATTTCTAACGGCTTCTCACTAACCGCACATACTCGACGGTACGCATTTAGATGTCCGACATGGCGCTCGTCTTATCGGCCATACTTCGTCGCAACCGTTAAACCGCAAGAAATACCGGATGGTTGCACATCGGATCGAGTCAACTCGGTACATTTCACCGTACACGTACCAAAGCCTCCGCAAGTCTTGTTCTACCCTGAAGATTCCGAAATAAAGTCCAAGTGATACCCCGCCAAGCCTTGACAGTTTCCCCAGATAAAAAAAAAGTCTGACAGTTTCCCCAGATAAAAAAAAAGTCTGACAGTTTCCCCAGATAAAAAAAAAGTCTGATGACTTTCGCGACATCGGCGTCACCGAACTTCGATCAAGCAATTAACTCGTTTTGCTAATTTTTCCAGAAAGGGGATGGTTTTCTTTTCGCGCTCTGCACCATTTACCGATCGATCAGAGATCATTTAGTAAATGCTAATTGTTATAATCAAACCGTGGAGTACCTGATAATTGCCAAATAGGGTGGGCACGATACTTGCTCGTGATAGCACCATAATTCTTAATTATAAAATCTTGCCGAGGGATTTCATGCGTGGAGTAATGGAGTTTCGATACGTGCCGTGACGATTGTAGGTATTGATAGTGTCCTATGATAACCGCAAGAAATACCGAATTGTTGCACATAGGGTCTAATCAACGCGTGTAGCTGGCGGAGGTTCTGCAAGAGAAACGTTTCCCTACAACCCACACGTCTGCGGTTATTTTCTACTAGAGTGGAGTGTAAACGATAGGCCGTCGAACCTTGACGGTTTCCCCGGATAAATGTCTAACGGGTTTCGCGACATTGGTGTCACCGTGTAATTAGTGTTGCTGAACTTCATTTCGGGATTTTACATGCTCTACTTAATCCGACGAAAGTCAACGAGAATGTTACTTCCTTCTTTCTATTTGATACACGTGGCCGAGTACCCACTTCATTGATAGTGTAGGAAGTGACGTCATTGATAGGGACAGATACTGACATACAGATACATGCTGACTTCCCTGATAGTGACAGATTGAGGAGACGTCAAGTTCCCCTCAAATCATCAAATAGCAATTATTTATACTCCCCCATTAATTGTAGCCTAATTAGGGAAAATAAGTCTGCCCTCACCAAAAATCGTCATTAACGTTTCATATCTGGCCAAAATATATTCCCTAATTTAGTCCAATTATGCAAAACGTTGGGTCAAATTCTTGCTTTATATTAATGTGGAAGAATTGTGAAAGTATAATATAAGGTACGATCAGGGTTTAATTAGGGAGAAAAATCCTGGGGATTTTTAAAACGTGTGTTATTTTGCGGTGAAGATTAATGCCCTAGGTACAAATGAGAAAATTCTGTTCCACAGGTGACAATGTGGGTCGTTTTACTTCTGGTGACCAGTTGCTCCTGGTCATGGGGTCAGGTGATCAACAGGGCTCCGCACTTTATCCAGGGAGGTGACATGGCCAGGATGGCGGTTTCGGAGGGCACTCCACCAGGTGCACCGGTTTACACCCTCCAGGGCGAAGATCCCGAGGGTTCTAGACTGCACTATTCCATCAGTGGGGAATACTTTTCCGTGGATCGCGAAACCGGAGTCGTCGTCCTGAGGAAGGCGTTGGACCGCGAGACGCAAGATCTCATTGAAGTTATCATCAGCATAACAGGTGAGGGTCCAGTACCTACATGTTCCGTCATCTATCAGTCTCTTACGACAGATTGATTAACTTTTCCCTCCTATATGCACTTCCGATGATGGATGCACCATTCGATCGATGACTTGGATAGTTTATTTTCCCTCTCTCTGTACTAAGGACGACCAAGAAGAACCGGGACTGGTTTTGCCTCGCAATTTTGCAAATTAATGATGGCTTCTTCAGGGAACATGCGATACGAGCAACAATTTACGTTACGATTTACGCTCCAGTGACCCTTCACTTTAATTACCTGTTCATAATAAACCTGGTGATGTTCTTGTCGAGTATGCAATGCTTAGAATGCATTTAGTACTATAAAGAATATGTTCTCCACGGACGCAAACGCCTCGCAATGAGATCTCGTGTACTTTAGTACTTGCTGATGGATAATAGGTATGATAGCTTCACTAATATTGAATAATTTCATGTTAATGAGAGCATCTCGTTCATGCGATTTTACAACTATACGTGTACCGTGTTTTACACCGACGATGAGGATTTAATGCCTTCTATCGTTCCGCGGTGGATTTTATTGCATTTATTATACACATTATATATATTAGGCATGATTGTAATTGTAAGCCAAACGTGATAATTTCCAATAGATAAATTTTTTTTNATTAATTAATTTTTATTTAAGATTTGTCTGAAAATGAATTCATGGTGGTCATCGGTGAAGAGGTCGAAGAGGTTTTGTATATAAAACATTTCTCTCAATTCGGTTTACCGAATAGATTGAGACTTTACAACGTGAATAGGGAGACTATAAGGAAGGTCCTGAAACTCATGAAATTTCAATTCTTTCCCAATTTGTTTATAGGTATTTTAGAAATAGATTATAAGAAATGAAATTTCGCGAGTTTCAGGACCTACCTTAGGGTCTCCACCCTACATGTGGAGACACCCACTTTGTAGAAAAGTTCTATGAAGAATTGAGCTTTCGGGTGCCGCTTTCACGTCCCCTTAAATACTGAAAGTTTTTCTTGAGATGTTGGAACCGACCGTTTGTTTCAGACGAAGGTGTAGCTGGCTCGGAGCCCAACACCGTCTCTTTGCGTCGGGAGATAGCAGTCCTGGACGAGAACGACAACCCACCGGTTTATCACGGACGTCCATATGCAGCCAGGGTGCCGGAGAGTGTCCGCGTGGGTGGTCTTCTGCTTCCTCCAGGAACCATCACGGTCACCGATCGTGACGGTGGAGTCAATGCCGACGTCCACGTGCAGTGCGTCGCCGCTTCCAGGGACGACGACGTCTGCGATGTCTTCGACGTCACCACCGAAAAGGTTCAGCAAATCCTTTGCTAAGAGCAGAGCACAATATCAGCTGCACCCGTGCCTGTGTCTGGATTTTGGCCTTTTTTGTTAAGGGCCAAGAATCAATTTCAGCCAGCACTACGCGATGCCCCTTCTTGATGGTCACCCCATCTAAGGAGGGACCCTTATCGCTTCAAAAATATTAGAAGAGTATTAGAAGTTGCCATGATAAGGGTTGACTTTGGTGATCTTACGGGAACGGGTGTATCGATATGGCTTTGAGAATTATGAGCAATCACGCAGTATCAGATAGGATAGAATTACGAGCAATGACATACCATCAGTTAGGGTTGTAGAGGGTAGTGGGGCATGTACAAGAATATTTTTTTCTAAAAGTGAAAGGGGTTTTTAAAGCTTTAAATATGTAGCAAAGTATGCGTATTGCTTTATGCGAGTGTATAGAATTCTTGGGACTCTGTGATTGGGCTTGGAAATGTTTCTCTGATTCTATTCTCAGGAGTGAGTTCGATTGATATTACCGAGACTTTTGATTTTTTTCAGCTAGCCGAGGGAAAGTACGACGTGGAGATTACCGTGATGAAGCCTTTGGACTATGAAAAGAGGAATTCCTATTTGATAAATCTAGTAGCTGTCGATGGAGCTAGCGATCCGTTCAAAAGGTTGCAAGCGAAAGCCACGGTTGCGGTCGACGTGTTGGATGTTCAGGTAATATCGATTTATGGAAGGAGAGGAATGAAAGGTGCTATTTGTACGCTGCAACATTACCATGTATTGCAACAACCACTGAGATGAATTTCACTCTAATTGCATGTAAAGTGAAATACCAAATAAGCACGTCAATACCAGAACTTGCATAGAGGCATTAAAAAGTACAATACCCTGATTATAAACGTAACGATTTACATTTCTACATACTATGCGTTTGGAAAAATGACTTTGAGATACAACGAATTATTTCTCTATTTTTTTTTCGAGTAGCTAATTACACATTTTAATTTCATGGTTTAGGATCAACCACCGGTTTTCCTCAACGCACCTTACAGCGCTGCTCTTCCTGAGAACACCCCAGAGGGTCACGTAGTTTTAACAATATTAGCTCGCGATGGTGACACAGGTGAACCAAGATCACTCTTCTTGAACCTGGAGGACGACGATGATGGACACTTTACCTTAGAATTAAGCCATGAAGGCGACATCACGGTGGGAAAGCTCGTCACGACCAATGTGTCATTGGATCGGGAAGATGCAACAATTCTGCAAAACGGTGGGATCTATACCTTTGCGGTGAAGGCTACCGAGTTAATAAACAACGAGATACCTGCAGACACAGCGACGTCCATTGTGACCATAGTCGTCACCGATATCGACGACCTTGCTCCGGTATTTAACGAAGATTACTTTAGTATAAAGATCTCCGAAGACACTGGAAGCGATACACCTCTACCTGGTAAATTGATTTGACATCTTTAATTCATAAAACATTAATCGACATTGACTTGGTTATTTCTTTCAAAGGCCTTAACATGGTGGTCAGTGACGGAGATGTCGGCGACAATGCAAAGTACATTTTGGCTCTTCGGGACGTGCCGGGATACCCGGGAATTAGCAATGCCTTTTCTGTTAGTCCTGAAGAAGCTCAAGGCAGAGTTCCTGTCGTTATCAGGGCCAAGAATACGGATGTTCTCGATTACGACGTTGACGACCCTAGAAGACGGGAGCTTGAATTTGAAGTCACTGCCTCGGTATCTGGCCAAGTTGTAAGTGGTCTGCAATGTTTGCAATGATATTCCTAGAAAGGGTTGCAACAAAGGCAACGATTGTTCGAGGAAGAAATAATTTTTTTATTTCGTAGGTCGCCTCTTCCACGGTGCACATAAAATTGCTGGACGCAAACGATCACAGCCCGGAATTTTCTCAGTCTGTATATAAATTGTCGGTACCTGAGGACGCCAAACCTGGAGAATTTTTTGGCAACGTTTTCGCTAAAGATGACGATAGCGGGGCCTATGGAGACTTAACGTACACTCTTCGTGGTTTTGGGGTGGATAAGTTCCGCACTGATTCCAAAAAGGGTGGCGTCTTCGTGGCGATGAACTTGGATTATGAAATTCAAAAGTCGTACTCTTTAACAATGGAGGCCAAGGATGGCGGTGGACGAGTGTCCACGGTGAATATCTTGATCGAGCTGGAAGACGTCAACGACAACGAGCCTGTCTTTGAACAACGAGAGTACTCCAGAACTGTAAGAGAAGGTGCAACTAGTTTTGATCCTCAGATGTTCGTCAGAGCTACGGACGTGGACGGGCCAACACAAGGAAACGGAAAAGTGACGTACTCCATAAGTCAGCACAACAGTTTGACCGAGAACGTCTTCAGGGTAATTAAAAATTATCATATATGCTATTTAAAGAAATAAATAAGTCCAAATACAGAAAAGAAACAATGGAAATCGCATTGTCCTCGAAATTAAGCATATATGACATTTTAGATTGCTAGAACTGCATCGGACTATTTCTAGAAACGTTGCACAAGTGGCTTAAGGCGGTCGTACCGTGTGATGGGTCCAGAAAATTGAAAAATAATTTACTTGATAAATTGCTCCCATAATATGTCTAGAATATCTAGAATAAGGGATTTTTTTCCAAGACGGGGTATTTTCGTGGCTCGGTGGAAAAAATTCACAAAAAAATGGAAAAGGTCCAGTCGTCACGCGGCATGACTGCCTTAAATTAATCCTAGCTCCGGTGTAGCATTTTGGAATAGTGTTGGCTGTCTTTTCACAGGTGAACTCGGATACAGGTGAAGTGACAATGTCTAAGCCTGCGAGCTCGGGAGATACGGAACGTGGATTGTACGAGCTGAAAATAAGGGCTACGGATGATGGCCATCCACCTCTTTACTCCGAGGCCAAGTTTCTGGTACGCGTTGGTGTACCAGGAAACCAGAAACCAGTATTTAGAGGTAATTACAAGCCCGGGTTACCTGGACCAAGTAGTTACAGGGCGAGGCTGCTGGAAAATGCAACTCCGGGCACAGAAGTCATTCGAGTTGTGGCAAATGATCCCGATGGCAGGGACAACTTATTGCAATACTACATTGCTGCTGGCGCTAAAGACAATTTCGTTATTAATTCCAGGTACTCGAATGTTGATTTTTAATTCGGGATTTGAAAATTAAGGGTTTAAGCAAGTGCAGAGTGTATTTGTCTCGCGATTGCTTTTCAGTTCTGGCGTTATCACGGTATCGCCCGATGCACGACTGGATTTGGAGAGTGGCGGAAACAAGTACGAGGTGATAGTTTATGCCGTTGATTCCGGAACACCTGTCAGAGAGACCGCCACAACTACGGTCACGGTTAACATTTTGGATGTGAATAACAAACCACCGGTCTTTGACAATTCTACGTACTTGGTATACGTATCCGAACGAGCGTCTATCGGTTAGTACAAGTGGCAAGTGTTAATAACTATACAGCTTTGACCCTGAAATTATACCCTGGAAAATTCATAGTTAAAAACGGCGATATTTGAAATAATGTCGATGTTATTTTGTTTATACAACAAACAGAAACGTTGCTATTGTAGCGTAACAAATTTAGTTCTTAATGTTTGCCGAGTCAGCATTCGAGTAAGAGAAGGCAATTCGATATTTGTACATTTAATTTGATCGAATTCTCTTTTCTCCTGCATCGTACTTTTTCACATCCTTTTTCTGTTACGAATGTTATGTCTAGGTGAACCCGTCTTAAAGGTAACAGCTACTGATCCTGATTTGGATGCCAGTATCGAATATTCCTTGGTGGAGCCGATCAGAGCAATGGACAAGACAGGAGTGGCTTTGAAGAGCACAAGTTTGTACGATTACAAAAAGGCATTCACCATAAATCCAGCCAGCGGTTTGATAACAGTGAACAAGGTTCTTGATTACCAAGTAGCTGCCGTTGTCATTTTGACAGTGGAGGCTAGAGACTTGAGCGCTGTAGTTGACAGGGAAAAACAATTTGCCAAGGCAGAAGTGACCATTTATATACAAGCATACAGCGACGACAATCCAACTTTTACTAATTCTGGATGGTCTCCAAATAATCCGACAATTCGAGTCTCCGTGCCTGAAGAACAACCACTGGGAACAACTTTGTTAATGCTATCGGCTAAAGAACCATTAACTGGACGCCCCGTGGAAAGATTCGAACTTGTTCGAGAAGAAGACGATGAGAGTTATGTGAGCGTTGGGGTACAGAGTGGAAACGTTGTTTTGAGTAGAAGATTGGATTATGAAGCATTAAATCAAAAGGTATGCCAATCTAAACAATTGTCGATACCTTTTATCCCATATTACATTCATCGATTTGCTCATTTTCGGAGTCTTAAACCTGGACGTGTGATGTTTTAAAATATAGTGCTTTTTATTCTAAATTATATTTTATGCAAATTAAATCTTAAATGGTGCACAAGTTGTATGCGATTTCAAACGAGCACAATTACTTATAAATTTCTCTATGGTGTATGAATGTAATAGCATAAGTAGCATTATGGTGCATGGTACTATGTAATGTTTTTTCTCGATTTTGTAATTACAGTTTATAAGATTCAAAGTGCGAGCGCTTACTAGAGACTACGAAATAACGCGAAGGAAGTCCGAGGCGAATATAATTGTTGATGTACACGATGTAAATGACAATAGTCCCATCTTCACTCAAAAAGACTACAAAATCTCGGTTCTCGAGTCATCGCAAGCAGGAAAAATTGTATTAAATGTGAAGGCTACGGACATGGACAGTTCAAATACCGAACAGGAGGTGAAAAGAGGCTACGGGGAAGTGAGGTATACCTTAACTGGGGAAAATGCAAATATGTTTGAAATCGAGCCGATTACAGGAAACATACAGGTAATTCATATTCAGAGTTATCTTTATTGCTTTCATCCCATCCGTTTGTATAATTAAAATATTTGCCTGGTTTAGATTGCGGAAAACGTGACTCTGGACAGAGAAAGGCAATCCGTTCTCCGGTTTTATGTTGTGGCGTCGGACATGCCTCAAGGTGGAGCGGAACAAAGAACAACCAGAGCTCTGGTGACAGTCGATATAATTGATGTTAACGACAATGCTCCGATTTTCCCCCAAGATTCTTACACTGCTGTTATCCCCGAGAATGCTTCTCCAGGAGTTAGTATAGTCAACATCACCGCGACAGATCCTGACGAAGGAGCAGGAGGGGCGATACAATTCGAAATTATTGACGAAGGAGAAGCAAACGGTAAAATTGAGAATTATTCACAATTTCAATGTTTATCCATCACTCTGACCATGAACTACCAGAACTTTACTGTATACAAGATGCATTTGTCCGTGCATTTCTTCATAGGTTGCAGAAGTGGTAGTCGCAACACAGTAATTTATTGGTATTCAATTTCAGGACTATTTAAAATAAACCACACAACTGGTGAGATATACTCGGCTGGGGAATTAACAGGAAAAGGAAGAACCGAGCCCTATAATATGCGAGTTAGAGCCCAAGATGGTGGTGATCCTGTCATGTACACCGATGTACTGTTGACCCTGTACATAGGGGATGTAGTCAGCAACGACGGTGTACCTCTCTTCATTAGACCAACCTTAGAAGAAATAGCTCACATTGCCGAGAATTCATCTATAGGAAGTCCAGTATTTCAAGTAGTTGCTTCCGATCCCGATGACCCTAATCTACCGAATGGTAAAATCACCTTCAAGTTGCTGGAAGATGGAAACTTTGGTAACGATGCCAGCGCATTCAGAATCAACCGCGATAGTGGTTTAATCACCACGCAAAAACTGCTCGATCGGGAAACTAAGGATAGCTATACCTTGATTCTGGTTGCTCAGGATCTCGGTGATCCTCCTCAACAGGCAACAAGGATTTTACAGGTCATGGTTGACGACATCGACGATCACAAGCCGCATTTCAAGAGGAATTTAGACAGTCGCCCAATCGAGCTCTCCATCTACGAAGAGACTTCAAACGGCACCGTCGTGGGCATTATCGAAGCTATCGATGAGGATATCGGGGAAAATGGAATGATCGATTATGGAATCATTTACGGAAACGAGGATGAACTCTTTTCGGTAGAACGCCTGGATAACAATTCCGCAGTCATCAAGTCCGCGGGGCGTTTGGATCGCGAAACAGCTGATCATCACCTCCTTACTGTAAAATGCTTTAAATACCCGTTGAAGAAGACAGATGTGGTTCGAAAAGCATATAATCGGCAAGATCCTTCGGAGAGGCAGATTTTGGTGAAGATTTTAGACATCGACGACAACAAACCGATGTTCAAAAAAGGACACGTCACTCTAGGAGTGCGTTTGAACGTTCCTATCGACACTAGCCTAGTCACGTTGGAAGCTGTCGATATAGATGCGGACGCTTTACCTATCGATTATAAAATCGGCAAAGTGTCATTCACCTCTCTGGTAGATTCTACCATGTCTCAGGATGAGATACCTCCGCCGTTGTCCTTAAATCCTGAAACCGGAGAGCTGAGGACCGCGAGATCCATGACAGGGTATGCCGATGGGTACATGGAGGTTCCAGTGCATGCCAATAATTCCGTCGAACTAGACAGACAGACCAACATCACTGTCAGGATATTCCTTTTACGGGATAGAGATATGCTCAAGTTTGTTTTCTCTAAACCTCCCGTCGAGGTCCGCAAGACCTTGGAACATTTTGAGACTGCAGTTCAACGGGCCTTGTCTTTGCCCATTTCCGTCAACGTTTACGACACTCAGTTCTATTCTAAAGAGGACAACTCTTTAGATTTCTCGTCCACGAGTTCTTGCTTCCAAATGGTAGGCAAGGAGTCCTATGACCTTAATGAAATGAAAGCGTTGCTTACCGACCCAAGAAACGAAGAGCTGAAGAAGGTCTATCGTATGTACCACGTGGACAAGGTGCAACATTGTGCTCCGATAGTAGCACGTGCCGATGCGTCCATGACCCAAATGTGGGTCTTGGCCATTGCAGCTCTTGTCGGTATTGCTGCTATTATTTCCAGTTGTGCGTTGTGTTGCATGCACGCAAAGTAAGTGAAACCAACGAAAGACTTCTAAACAAATTCTCGATTATCCTAGTCTTGCGTAGAATTAATTACACGACGATCGTTGTGGACCACGGCACGCAATGTGTCTAACCGTTCATTTGTATTTCCTGCTTTTTTAGGTACAAAAGACAAGTGAAACACGCTCGTCTTCGAGATCATCCACGGCCACCATTGAGTTATGTCTCGGCGGGATCTGGAATGGTAAATGCGACTTCCCATACTACTTTGGGACCAGGAACCATGGTGACCCTTGGTCCCCATGAAGGTCCCTACGAATGGGGTGCTGATACCACCCTGTATCATCCCAGTACGCTTTCTAGAGCGTAACCAGACGAGTCGATTCGTTATTCGATTCAAGAATTTTCCTGAACAATCGTTGAGTGGAAACAACGATGTTTCACAATTACTGTGGGTGTATACATGGAAAACTGGCGCTACGTTGTGTCGCAGAAGTATGCTCTCTAAAGCGTAGATCAGGACACTTGTAATATTAGATTGAAGTACTTCCGAGGACCTTGCTATCACGGCAATCGAGGATTAGAAAAATTCCTGGTTGAAATTCGAATGACAGAATTACTTCTCCGAAACGTGATACAGCTCGGGGAGCTTTTAATGCTGAACCGTCCACCTCGGTTTTTTATGAAACATCCCAGAAGACTTCCTGGCACTTCTACAAAATGATCACTCCTAGATGAACAAGTTTCGGTTTCGTATCTGCCGAATTTCACCCAACACGAAACTGCATAAAAATATGAAGAAATGGTGCTAAAGCTCAAGAGTGGGACTCAACTTCGTTCAATGAAGTTCAGCGTAGTTGGTCATAATATATTTCGTTGGAGGTTATTCATGAATATTATTGTGTGGCATCGCGCCGGAAATGAACTGTTCAGCTGGGTTATCACCTATCTGATTATATTCCCTTTTTATGGAAACTAACTACGCTGCTGTACATTTCGCGAATACAGTTTGTTTAAGAGCATCGTCTACAACATTGAAGACTTACTGAATCGCTAGGATTCTCTCGGCCTTTCTGTAATATAAATCGTATTTAATGAATAAATTGTACATTTCACGTTATTTATCGAAACTAAGCGTTATGTGATTACCCTGACGTCTGTTAAGTCAGCAGTGTACCGAAGCAAGAGAAAGTTGGTGAAGACTTTCAGCCTTAAACGTCTGGCCTTTATGTAACCCGTTCCGACGATGGCTAATTAATTGCTCCAAACTGCCATTAGATTCGTGCGCTTTTATTCCTCTAGATCGTATCATTAGCGCGCCAATGAAATCCTCTTCAGATGCAAATTCTAATTAAGCATTCCTGGGATTAGTATAAAAATCTAAAATTAAAGGCTCCTCGTTTTTCGAGAAATCATGGAATTCCAACGGCAGAAATGTCAAGGTGAGTGACCCAGGCATTCGTTTTAGCTGACAGGTTTTACACCTTACTGCCCACAAATTTCTTCGCATTTCTCGTCGAAGGCACCGCAAAAATATCTCAGAGGTCTCTAAGAAATGACGTTTGAAGAGTTTTTAACTTGGCAGTGATCCTGACATTCTGAAAATCTGGATTTAATTTGAAATTTTATCCGGAAGTGCTCTTCAGTCGGTAGCTAATAGTCCATCGGGGAATTCTTGGACTTCTGCGGGATTTTTTATCTCCTGCACAGGAGTTGTGAAATTCTTTGCGGATTTATCCTCTGTAGATGTGACGTTTTTACAATTCTGGCACACGGTTATCTCTTCTTTTTCTAGACCGATTCCTAGCTTATGGTTGGATGGTATCTCGATGTCTTGTTCATTATGTATTCCTTCGAATTTTGAATTTTCCTCGTGATTCTGTTCTGTCGATTCGTTGGACAACTTCAGAGGCGTTTCTTCGTAACGAGACAAAAGTGTCTTTGCATTATTTGGAGATTCGTCTTCTAGGAACGTCGTTTCTTCAGTGGGCAAATGATCTGCATTTTGTTTCGTGATTGAATTGAAAGGGGAAAGAATTTTTTTGACAAGCTGTTCCTGGTCCTCGGACATCACGAACTCTGATCTCTCCAAGATGTCGTGTCTATGACAAAAATCATTTTATGTACCATTAATTTCATCCTGACATTTATATCGTTATTTAACAACTATCTTGTATTGAAAAGTCTCATTCTAACGTCTAATAAATTATTTCTAATGAAACCGGTATGCAGAGGTTCATCAGAGAAAATTGAAATACGGTACTGTACCCACGTTTCTCATATCATCTGGCGATACATAAATAAAATCATAACTGCAGAGTTTTGCGCTGATAAAAGAATAATTATTTAATCTCAGCGAACTTGGGAATAAAAGTTAAGATGACCTTCCGGAGTCCAAACTTGTTTCCTCTCCGAAATATCGAAGAAACTTTGCATGCCGTTCTGCTTTTAACGACCATAAAAAAAAAGACAGCAAAGAAAAAGAGGTTTGTCCCGGAATATTAAATTCCTGACGATGTGGACAGTTTCTGCAGAAAACAAATTTTGTACTGTCAGGACAAGGAAGTTCCATTCGTTAAGAAATTTCACCTGCTGAGTTTGTTTTTCTTCCGCGGATATAAATTTAGGTGAAATATCATTTGTTGCCTTTCTTCTTCGTCGGTCATCGGTTGATTCGGTATGGCAACAACAGGAATAGGTGAAGAAGAGGAATACATTTTGGGTCCACGATTGTACATGACTGGAGGTCTTCTGGAGTCATAGTCATCGAATGATGCAGATTGCTTTGGCCTGCCTATTTTTTTAGTCTGATCGATATCGGTAATCGGATAAATGTCCAACATTATACTGAATGGTTTTGGTTTCCTCCTTTTTGCGTAACTTTCCGCAGGATAGTTGTCATACTGAGATCCCGCTGCCATGAGGTGTTGTTTGTTCATGTTCGATGATGGTCTTTGGTAGTATGGGTCAAATGATGGATTGTATCTGTAAATCCCTGCCGGGGAAAATCTGAAAGGCAACCGTTTAATTTTCAATGCGTTTATAAAATAGTTATGGTTATTCGTTGTGACGTATTGTCTCATGAATTGCCAAGTACGAGACGTTTATATACATTTCAATACATTTTATCTACGGGAGGGAATTTAATTAGCATAGGATTAGACATTTTAATGACAAACCTAACATTGGACGTGGCCAGAAGATTGACGTCCGATGGATGCTTGGGTTTGTATTGATAAAATGGATCAGCGTTTATGGTAATCGGGTATGGAGTGTCTTCTTCTTCTTCCGATACGTCATCATGTGTCATACTTTCAGCCATTTCGGGATATGGATCATATTTCTTCGGGTTTACGTAAACTCCCGTGAATTTAATCCCCCGATTTGCAGCATCGGCTTCGTTGGTTAAATATTTTATAATGTCTTGAATGTTTCGTGACGCGTGTGGATATCTGTATTGAGACAATTGTGGGTACTTTGGTCCCTTAAAGGAAGTGGGTTGTGGTGTTTTGTACTGAAAATGAAATGGTGTTGGACGGGACTCTTCTGAGTTCGTAATGTCGTCGTCTGGTAATGGACGTTTGTACCTGAAATTGTACACATTTGTTAACAAATTTTGGTGAAATTCATTAAATTTAAATCAGTATCATAGTAGATAGTAACTGCTTTCTATTGTGTATAGAGATTATTATACACCTTTTAAACGACTGTTTCAAGAAACAAACATCTTCAGGATATTAAAAAGTGATTATTAACATATTACCTTTGTTTTACCCTATACACCACGGCATGATTATTAAATATCTTCCCTTCAGGGTTATCATCCTCAGTTCTTTCTTCGGAGTCAAAATGATCTGTTGTAATCCTGCGGTGAGAATCGATAGCACGAGAGGTCTTTTCCTTCCATTTCAAATTATTTTCTGCGACATTTTGCGTTGACGATTTTGTCAGTGACTGATCTGTGCCATCATTGCCAACATCCTGGCAATCCTGGTCCACTCGATCTTGTACGAGAATAATTTCTGTACGATTTACTTCACCTTCCGGTGTCGGAGTACTGAACACCGATTTCGGTGAAGCATTGTTCGATTTTTTTAACGCATTTTGCAATATGTATATATGTTTTGTCTCTTGATTCGCTTTGCTATGAATGGAGGTACCTGAGGTGAAGTCGTATAAAAATATACCTGCCTGTAAAGCAGAGTATAATCAAAATTATAATTGCTGATCCAAGTACTAACAAAGCAATATAAATGAACGTTATCGGACTTTTATGCGATATTAAACATTTTTGAATTAAGTATCTTTTTTATATCGCTCTACCTAGAATTTGACATTTTATCAAGTTTCGGTAGCAAAAATTGTCCTTTCTAGGAAGAACAAAAAAAATGTGGTTGGCCTTAAAATGGCCTTTATGTAAAAGTCAAAACCTGCATTTTAATTCCTTCTCCAAAACCTACAACTTTTTATTGAAATGTTTTTCGTTATATATATAAAAACTTCCTTTTTATTAATATCACTAATGTCAGCATTCATAGCTTTTACAACAGTTTTAGTAAAAAAAAAAAAAACTATGAGAGTCCATTTTGTCACTAAAATTATTCAATGTCTCTGTTACTTCGAAAGAATATAATATTAAGGTTAGCTTTCCCGCGCATGCGACGATTTTTCTAATTTAGTTTCCCCAGACTTCAGTAGAATTAAAACGTTTCCCACATTTTTGAAACTCTAAATAAAAACTAAATGAACCTAAACTTTATTCTTCGTGTGAAGATTCTACGTGCGATAGTAACGGCATATAAATTGCAAAAGAATTGATATATGCACCTAAGCAATTTTTGGTACACATGTCGAAAAACGAAATCTAACACTTGATTATGTACGTGGAAGGTCGCATAGAATGGATTACTTATCACGAAGCGAACTTATCACGTGCGATAGTAACGGCATATAAATTGCAAAAGAATTGATATATGCACCTAAGCAATTTTTGGTACACATGTCGAAAAACGAAATTTAACACTTGATTATGTACGTGAAAGGTCGCATAGAATGGATTGCTTATCACGAAGCAAATTGTAGGACTTTTATTAGACATAGAGTAAAAAATAGAAATAATAAATAAACCATCTTCTTTCTCGAATGTCTTGTAGATGTTCAAGAAAAGTGAAAATCGCAGGAAATGCTCTTTGGGGAAATATATTGCGTTCACGCTTCGTGGACCAGAATCATCTTACATCCGCGTCAAATTGCAGGTTAGCAGAGATTCGAATCTATTAGAGCGTTCGCGAACGTAAAGGGGCTCGATTCGACTCTTTGCCAATTAAAAACTTATTAACCTTCTTTCTAATCCTCTTTCGCGTTAATCTGTGCCAGAACACAGTTAACGCTCCACATGTGAAGTCTGGAGGATCATTTAGGCTCGTGCCGCATGGTCCACCATGCATGGAAAACGCTCTACGACTTAAGGTGAAAATGTGTTTTTATAAGATCTGTTCTCTATCTATTGTATACATCTTATCATAGCCCAGAGCACATATATAGGAAGCGTGAAAATTTCTTGGCACTTCCTATTGAATGTCATATGTGCCCATAATTATGAAAGTGGTCTAAGTCATATATTTTTTGTTTCGAAATTACATTGAATTAATTTCGTTTGAAATAATATGGCGTGAAATAACTGATAAACTCATTTTTTTTTAATTTTGACTTAGGCCACTTTCATAATTATGGGCACATATCAGAAGGATAACACTAGGTACACCGAAGAAAGAAAAGGGAATAAATTCAACTCAATTTGAGTTGAACTCATTTCGCTGAAATTTCAAGCTAAGTCACCTCCATTTACTTGAAGAAATTAAATACAATACGTGGGCATATTTCCACCAGATAAACAGACGAAGTAAATATAGCATCAATCCCCAGCAATTTTTTTTTGCAAATTTCTGACGATTAAAATTAACATTTCGAAATGAAGATTAGATGTTTTTTTTTCTTTTCGCGTCATGTTTACGTGAAAGTAATGCCGAGTGCGTCTGTTCACATCGTCTCTGGAATTAAAGTAAAAGAGGTGAAAGTGAGATGGCTTGGAAAGCTCCTTCCCATAAGACAATTACTACTCGGTGCGACTCCTTCCATTGTGAACAGTACTCGCGTTACCGTAGGTCGTGGTCGCGTCAGCAACCGTCGGTTTAAAACATTGCTAATTGAAGCTTAATTGCCGTAACCGCGTTAGAGAAACGTTATCCCGAGAAAGAATGTCTACCTTTTTCACGGCTGCTAATCGGCCAAATCCTGTTCCCTCTTGCAATTGAAAAATCAAACATTTTGAAGGAATTATGGTAATTGAGACGTTTCGCGCCTCTCCTAGAATTTAGAACCGAATGCGGGACGTCATTTTGTCACCGATACTGACAAACATTGGTTAATATATTATAAAATTCATTAGAATCAGAAGACAACAAATTACGCATACGTGTGTAACACATTGTAGATGCTGCACATTTTAGCACAGACCCATCAAGTAGTACTCAATAAGGAACCACTTAATATCTTATTATTAAATGACAATGCGTCATTCTTAAATATAATGGAGCAATAGTAACAAAAAAAAAAAACAGTGGCGAGGTTGTGAAAATATGTAAATACAGAAATTAAAATAATGGCGGGATACCGGATCGTATGTTAAGCAGAGAAGTAGTGACTTGGCTTTGTAGTACTATTTCAATGTTTTTTAAATCTAGAAATATAGGTCCTTACTCATATTTCATTTTTAGCGTTAAAAGACGTGTTTTAGCAGCAATACCTCCCCATACCCCCTTTTAAGCTCCTTTTTGAGCGCTTTTAGGATAAAGTGAGCGACGATTCCCTAAAAATGGGTAAGGGGACTTTTAAACCACTTTCAACTATCAAAGTCATGCATCAAATTTTGACAGCTTTTAGTTGTCCAAGTCGTACACGAAAAATGGAATGCATCAACATTTTTCACAGAGCAAAAGCTCGCGAAGTGAATACAGGGCATCAAATAAATACCAGGGATTATTTAAGTCGAATTTACATTTTTCCGACATTGTCATATTACATTTCGTAAAAGTGGCCTTTTAATTAAAAGCGCTGTTAAAAATGAGATATGAGTAAGGGCCATGGTGTATTGGTATAAATTGGAAGCTTGTAATCAGCGACTGTTTTTCTTTTTTTATACGAAAGTGTTGTTAGAGTGGTTAAATTATCTACCATCTATTAAACTGATGTTTAGTAGCGGTACTTACTAGGACCACCGCTGTCACCACCATTACGACAATCACAATTTTTCGTATAAGAAGACTGTGCTGGTTCCTGCCGTGCCGGTCACTGCGATCGGAATAAAGACCGAGTTCCGAAGTACTAATGGCTGATCGTCTTCCGGTTTCGAACATCGCTGTTCAAAAAGTCCGTCACCCACGTCACATGCCTCAGAGAAGGACGTTGCTGACGCGCTGTATTTTTTGCCACTTTTTTTCCCCTGTAACAGCCTTATAGGGCGAGGTTATTCCTGTCCGACTCGTCTCGCTATCATTTAATTTAAGTATTCCGAATATATTGGGCGATGACGATGTCGATCACGGACTATGTGAGACAGTCTCTCGATGCTCCAAGGTGTAGGCCAAATAAAAATGGCGGCAAATGCTCCATTCGAATTAATCAGGTTACTTTGAATTATAATTCGGTGACGTCGATGGGGGTATTTGTTGACCGATTTAAATGTTGTACTTAGTTTTTAGAGTCGGAGGTCTGCACGACGCGATTCTTCCAGAGATTTATTGACGACTAACAGCTCCTATTCTCGGACGCACGTTTTCACTAGCGATTCTATCAAGAAAGAAGAAATTTTCATTGTTTCGTGGGGGAGGCACTTGGGAGGGGAATGCACAGAGTTATGGGCTACTTACGGTCGTATAGTAACAACTCTGCTATGCTCCAAGGAATATTAAGTGCGCGAAAACTCAATTACCTTGTTTGACAAGACGCGTAGCAGAAAAGCGACTCGACGAGTCATTGTCACTGATAATAACAACTCTTACGTCTAATTGCAATTTCGCTTATGAAGTGTAAGAATGGCTGAGTAAATTAGGTACATTGTCATCAGAGACACGTTTTAACATAAAGCCGCTTTCGATAGAGGACCTGTTTGAATTTCACCAATAAGTTAGTACCAGTTTCATATTCTTGCAAAAGATATTAAATTATGATTCTCATAAAAATTGGAATATGACGCTTTGACTAATTTACATTTCTTGTTTCCCTTCACTGACATACGGTGTCGACTAATAGACTGAAGCACTTTCTTGTTTTTAAACAAACAGGCTTCTACATAAATTTCGTTATTTTATCGCTCGTATCAATTTTTATGAATGTAACAATGAACATGAAAAAATGTACACGAATGTATATGAAAAAAATCAATGGGTGAAGGTTTGAAGTGTTTACCAAATTTATGCTGTTCTAAACGTGACACTTTCAACGTACATCTAATTATACCCCAAGATGTGTAAAATAGGTACAACGAAGATTAAAACGTCACATCACAGTTTTCCGTTTGGAAAAAAAAGTTTATTAATTCTTACAATTATTGTACTTTCTATCAGTATGTATAAAAGTGCTTATTGCCATTCTTAGCCCTATATCGCAGGATGATTGGTATTGATGGTTTCCGAGGACTTCTCGTATTTTCTCAGAAAATATCGGCCATGACTGTATAAAATCTACGGCAAGCGTAATATTTAAATAAGTCGCTTAATATCTCAGTGTTTACCTATCGACAACATTACCTATCACTAGATTAATAGTTGATCAACGTTTTCGAAAATCAAAAGGAATGTCTGGTATCGGATAGTTGTATCCTAGCGGTTTTGGTGTGGTTCCAGGTGGCAGTGTTGGACTTGGTGCTGGATATCCCGTTGGTGGTGGTAAGGTGGACGTGCTCGGGGTGATACTGTATAGTGGGGTAGGATATGGAGGTGGGGTAACAGTTGGGTACTTTGGTCGCTGGGTCGACGGCGGCAGATATGGGGGAGGACGGGTGCTGGGTGGTGGACCCGGTGGTGGCAAGTATGTTGGTCGATCCTGTGTAGGTCGCGAAGGAGGGGTGTAGGTTGTTCTCTGAGTTGGGGGTTGAGTGTATCTTGTCGTCGGAGGGGTTACAGGTGGAACGTATTTCGTGGTCCTCTGAGTAATGGGTGGTGGCGGTGGGGTCGCGGGTGTCCTAGGTGGGAGGTAAGTCGGGGTCTTGGTGGGTGGAGCAAATGTCACTGTTGTAGTTCTTGGCGGTGGTGGTCTTGTAACGATAGAAGTTGGTGGCGATGGGGTAGTTACAGGAGGACGTGGCTTCCGAGTCGAGACTGGAGGTAGATAAGTTGGTCCGGTCGGTGGGGGAGTCCTGGGTGGTTGTGGGGATGGCGGGATATAAGGTGGTCTAGTTGGAGGTTGTGGGGGTGGCGGGTTATAAGGTGGTCTAGTTGGTGGTTGCGGGGGTGGCGGGATATAAGGTGGTCTAGTTGGGGGCTGTGGGGGTGGTGGGATATAAGGTGGTCTAGTTGGGGGTTGCGGGGGTGGTGGGATATAAGGTGGTCTAGTTGGGGGCTGTGGGGGTGGTGGGACATATGGTGGCCGGGTTGGAGGCTGCGGTGGCGGGGGAGGTACATACGGTGGTTGAGTGGGTGGTTTCGGAGGAGGTGGCGGCTGTCTCGTTACAGGTGGTTGAGGAGGTGGAGGTAAGTACGGGGGCTTTGTTGGTGGTGGTGCGGGTGGGGGTGGGATATATGGTGGTCTAGTAGGAGGTTGTGGTAAGGGTGGTGGAGGTCTCGTAGGGGGAGCAGGAGGCGGTCTTACCGGAGGTCGCGGTGGTGGTGTTCGGGGTGGAGAAGGAGGTAGATAAGGCGGTTGAGTAGGTGGTTGCGGTGGAGGAGGAGGCGGTCTTGTCGGAGGTCGCGGTGGTGGTGTTCGGGGTGGAGAAGGAGGTATATAAGGCGGTAGAGTAGGTGGTTGCGGTGGAGGAGGAGGCGGTCTCGTCGGAGGTCGCGGTGGTGGTGTTCGGGGTGGAGAAGGAGGTAGATAAGGCGGTTTAGTAGGTGGTTGCGGTGGAGGAGGAGGAACGTATGGCGGTTTCGTGGGTGGGGGCGGAGGGACGTATGGCGGCCTCGTAGGTGGCGGCGGAGGTGGTGGTGGCACATATGGTGGTTTTGTGTGCGGCTGAGGTGGCGGTGGCAGGTATGGCGGTCTCGTTGGCGGGGAAGGAGGCGGTGGCGGTCTAGTTGGCGGTGGTGGCGGTGTTCTTGGAGGTGCCGTCACTGGCGGTCTAGTTGGGGGTGGCGGTGGGAACGTGAAAGGGGTTTTAGGTACATCGTACGTGTAACCGGTAGATTGTGGGGGAGGTGGCGGTCGGGTTTGAACGGGAGGTGGTGGACGACGAGTCGGTGGTGGCGTTGGTCGCGGCGTTGGTGGCCTCGTCGGTGGTGGTGGCGTTCTCGGTGGGAACGTCAATGGGGTTTGCGGAGGAGAGTAATTATAAGGTGGTACCGTCTGAACCGACGGTCTCGAGGGCTGAGGTCTCGTTTGTATCGGTGGTGGCGGTGGCCGCGTAGGTGGCGGCGGCGTCCTCGGCGGTAACGTTAAAGGATTTTCTGGCGGTGGATAACTGTATGGAGGTTTCGTTTGAACCGGTGGCGGTGGTGGTCTAGTTTGAACAATTGGGGGTCTTGACTCAATGGGACGTGGCGGCGGCCGGGTGGGTGGCGCCGGCGTTCTCGGCGGTATCGTTAAAGGATTTTCTGGTGGCGGGTAGCTATACGGAGGTTTTGTCTGGACAGGTGGCGGTGGTGGCCTCGTTTGAACGGGAGGAGGTCTCGTCGGAATCGGAGGCCGCGTGGGTGGCGCCGGCGTTCTCGGCGGTAACGTCAAAGGGTTTTCCGGTGGTGGATAACTGTACGGCGGTTTCGTTTGAACAGGTGGCGGCGGTGGCCTCGTTATAACAGGAGGTGGTCTTGTCTGAATCGGAGGTGGCGTCGGCCGCGTAGGTGGTGCCGGGGTTCTTGGTGGTAATGTGAACGGCGTTTGCGGAGGTGAATAACTGTAGGGTGGGCCGGTCTGAATCGGCGGCTTTGTAGGAGGTTGCGATTGTATCGGTGGCGGCGGTCGCCGAGAGATGGGAGGTGGAGTGGGCGGACTTGTTGATGGTGTTCTGTAAAAAAAAAAAGAACGTAACGTCATGGTTATCGACATCGGTTACGATAAATTCTATCATGGATAATTGAATGTATGGATTACTCCTTCTACGTATCTATTAATTCATAACGTTCAACCGCAGGTACACAGTCTAAGTAACATAACGATGTGTTTTATCGCTTACCGGGGCGGGAGAGTGAAGGGCTTATTCGGCGGAGTGTAAACGTAACCTTCAAACGGTGCTTGAGGTTGCGCATAGCTCTCTATCGCCCTTTTGCTTCTCTCGTGTCCATGACACGTAGAGAGCACCACCACCAGAGTGGTGGCCCACAGGATCTTCCACTACAACAAATGAAAACATAACTCCATTAAATGCTATCTTGCATATATCAAACTCTTACTCGGTTAAAATATCAACCTGGCGAGCAATAAACTCAGGGAACTACGGAGATTCCCACACCTGAGAAATGTCTACGCGTTCTAAAAGCGTTACAGCGATTTCGCTTTAAAGGCAGATGAAACATTATCGCCCTGCGCTGATTACATGGTACAAAAATAATTATAACGCTATCTCCTGGTTTCTGATCGCCCTGAGTTTCGCCAATTGAACGAACGCATCGAAAAGAAAATCCCATCGACTATCTGAAAATCTCCAGGAGTTTCACATTGAGTTCAATGACTAGGATTGTTAATCGCAAATAGAATCACGGCATCAATATTCTAACGATAAGGTACGGGCCATCATTTTGTACAGATCCTATAAGTTAAGATTATCCACGCCGCTCATTTCTCGAGATGTGGACAGCCATAAATAATCGATCGGCGAGGTATCCCTGATTTCCTTTATCGATAGTGAACGAGTTCCTGGAGGAGATGATTGCCGTTTGTTAATGAAGGGATCTGTCGTGGCCTTTCGATCGCGCCTCGGTTGCACATTGCGAATGCGGAATAAAATCCCACGGTAGGTTTACGGAGCCAAGGCGTTGGTGCTTACCTGGTGGGCGCACCTACAAACTGTTGTCGTCGCGACGTTTTTCGCCAATTGAATTGTATTTGCGGAGTCACCCACCGGGACGTAAAGTCCAGTGACCTTTTAGGCTTATAAATTGTACAGGGAATCGCCATTACTGGGAGAAAATCCTCTACTGGAGAGTGTCCTCCACGAGTATGTGAAAGGTTGCTCAGCGTATCCGCGCTCTCGA